AATGGGTATTTTGGCATATCACTCATGTTTAAAGGCTCATTGCTGTTTTGAATTTTGTTGCTGCTAAGCAAGGGGGATGCAGCTTTTGCACATATTTTCAACTTGTTGATCCATGCCTGGGAAGTACACTTTCTCTCTTAGAAGTTGTTTGGTTTAAACAATTCCCTGATGACCTTCATGAGCTAATGATATCGCTTTATCTTGCAAGTGCCTAGGAATAACAATTCTTGATCCATGCAGTAAGATTTCACCTCCCTTGAGATTTACTACCGATAATTCATTCTTACAGCGAGAGAACGTATCAAAATACTTTATTTTATTGGTGTTGCTCCAACAACCTGTCTTTTATGGATTTAATGGCCGTTTGGAGGTCATTGTCCGTAGAAGTTGCCTGAACAATTTAATTCATGTTCATTGCAACAGGGTACATCATGATATGCAAGAAAATTTACATATTCTTCAGCTATGCTTGATTTGCTGCCTTGTCCTGTGTCTGGATGTCTGCTTAGATAATCTGACATGTTTGATTCTCCAGGTTTGTGCACGATCCTGAAGTCATATAATAACAGGCGCATTCTCCAACGTTCCAGTCTTGCAGATCCAAGTTTTGATTTAGGATTATTGTAGATATTCTCAAGGAATTTTGCATCAGTTATGAACTGTGAATTTATGTCCAAATAAGTATATGTGCGCAATGTTCTAATGACCAAACTAATGCCTAAGTTTTCTTTCTCTTGTTGAATGTAACAGCTTCGTTCAACATCTGTCAGTGATCTGCTTGCATAACACACAACTTTACTTTCTTGGAGCATAATTGAAGCCACTCCGACTGGAGATGCATCTGTGAATTATTTGTGTTCCTTATTAGGATCAAAGTATGTCATGACTGTATCACTACTCAAAATAGATTTCAGTTTGTGTTGGAATGCTTCGTCTTGTTCATTCTTGCCATGCCCAATTTTGCGTTTTTCTTTATCAGACGACGTATTGGCCTCTGCTATAGTGCTGTAATTTGGGATAAAGCGTGACACGTAATTTGTTATTGCTAGGAAACTTCTGACTTCTGAAAACTGTTTTTTGGAGGCTGTGTCTTTTTAATTGTGTCAATTTTCTTAGGGTCTGCTGACATTCCATCTTTACTGAAAAATGTACCCAAAGTTTTTGCTTATTAAACTCACATTTGCTTTTATTCAAAGTTAAATTTTTCTGCTCAAGTCGCTTTAAACACTGCTTCAAGTCTTCTGTCATGTTCTGCTTGGTCGCCAGCCCATATAATGACATCATCAGAAATGTTTCTCACGCCGTTCAGACCTTCTAGAGCCGTACTTGCTGGGTCGGATGGGGGCTGCGTTCATTGAATGCCGCCTTTCCTTGTCGATCTTTTTATCATATTTTAAAGCATTTTGGAATATTTCTGCTGCCACTATTAATTCCGAAACTGAGGCGTTTATATCGTCTTAATCCAACATGTGTTGTAAATATGTTGTATTGTTGCGTGATTCCTCTGACAGTTCTAATTGGTGATATTCCATGATTTAAATGCTAAGTTTAGAGAAAACTTTCGGCACCACTTACAGTCCACAATCATGTCATCAATTGTTGGAATAATATGAGTTCTTGTGGCCTTCATGTCGACAAATATCCTTATTTGGTTTGGTTTTTGGTTTTGGGAGCTACTCACAATGGGTGATACCTAGTCTGTGGGACCCCTCATACTTTTTCAATGATATCTAGGTCTCCTCAAGCCTCTGGAAGCTGAATTTTCAACTTGATGTCTTAAGTGGAAAAGGTATTCGTCTATGTGGTTGCGTGTAACAGGGTTGAACATTTTTATCCACATATAGTTTGACTTTTGTTGCTTTCTTTTCCTCCCTTGATATAGCTGTGAACACGACGTTTGGTACTTTTTTGCAGAGTTCATCGACCTTGCTGTCTGTGACTGTGTTTATTTCTGGAATGATATTGAGGTCAACAGATGTCTGATAAGAGAGAAAGATTACCCGCTGGTGCCCTTTGTCACATATACTGGAGCTGTTGTTATTTTGTTTTTTTAGATTCAATTTGTGCTTGGAAGCTTGCCTAATAAACAGGCGTGTGGACTTTACTAGCACCAATATGCATAGACCTTGGTGTGTGCTCTCTGGCTCATCTGAGATGAACTTTAATTTGAAGCTTGAGTACGTGTTTTCGTCCAATTACATTTATTGGTGATGATCCTGTATCAAAAATTAATGCTTTAATTTTACAAGCCGTTGATATGCACTTTCAGCCTTGGTCTTTGTAATTGCATGTAATTGACAGATAGTCCATATATTTCATTTTCATCCTCGCTTTCTTTGTCTTGTCACTTTCACTTGTGAGCTATCATGAAGTTTGTATGTGAACATATTTTCCCGTTTTCTTTGACAAGCATACTGCTTCAAAATGATTTTTTCTTAGAGCAAAATGTACATGTTTTTCCACTGGCTGGGCATTTTCCTGATTTGTGAGGATATTCATATTCCACAGTATCTGCATATTGATTCCCCTTTATGATGTGTCTGCGTCTTTCTTTTTGCGCCTTTTGATTTTTCCTTTGTCGTGATTTCATAGCATTAACGACGTCATATTTTGCTTGACCTTCAATTTCAGATGCTTGTTTGATCTGATAGTTCTAGTGCCCTTGCTTCTTTGATGAGACTTGTCTAATGTCAGGTCATCGGCGTAGTGCTTTTGCGACGCAGTCGAGTTGAGGTGCATCCTTGAATGATTTGTGACTTAATTTCTTTGTCCTTTTTTCCGTAAAATTCACAGTTTATACTTTTTTGTCTTAAACGTGTATGGAATCTATCAATGTTTTCATTAGATTCCTGTTTTGCCTGTCTAAATTTATATATCTCAAATTCTGTGTTTTGTCTTGGGGACAAAGTACTCTGTTAGCTTTATTTTTTGCTGTTTCGTAGTCATCCCCTGTATTCTGCAGTACGTCAAAGATGTCATTTACTTCTCTCCCTGCATAGTGTAGCAATAAGGCTCTCTGACGTTTTTTTGTCTTTAAATGTCCATGCCAATTATTAAGTTTTCGAATCGACCTGACCATTTCCTCCATCTTGTGTCAACGCCTGGTTGATTTACACTAAATGCTGGAAAAACTGGTAATCCTTGAGCCATGTTGTCACTGTATCAGTGTTATTGATAAGGACATAAGTTGCCCAAAATAAAAATCCAGATAAAGTGTCTTAAACTTTAAATCCAACAAGCGTAAATTATCCAGTGTTCACTGTATTTGATTAATTCCTGTAAAAATTTTTACTTATATAAAATCCATTTATTTTCTTTTTAATCCTCGTCGCCATTGTACTGTATGAAAACTCAATTATAATAAACTATTTTAATATTTATTTACAGAAGTACTCACAGAGGTCTTGCTATATTGCATGTATAATGTAAAGTGTCTATCAAAGAGGGCTCTGAGAGAGAGTTCTCAGAGTCAAGTAGGCGGAGCTTGTATCATAGTTCGGAGACCTTTCTGTTGAAAATGTGTCAGGGTTAAATCGCATACATATACATGCACCGTGCGTTAACTGGAGTGCGGGTATTAGTTACCCGCACTCCAGAGCATGGGCCATTTCATTGGCTCATTTTTTTGCTGGGGTTTTACATATTGTGACGGCAGAGAAAGGGAAAGCGACATAAATATCATATTCAGATGTTCGTTCATTGGTTCATTTTTGCCGGGGTTTCATATTGTGACAACAGGGAACGTGTTTTTTATGTTTGACTATGATACAAAAGAGAAAGAACAGACCAAAAAACACTCGGTAATCTGATTAATACTCGGGGGCTAGGCGCCCCCTCGTACAAATCAGATAAACCTCGTGTTTCGGTGCTCTTTCTATTACTTAACAACACTACAGTCCTTTGATTATTTTGACACCTTCAATATTTTACACCTTTACCTGCAGTGAAGATGATTTCTGATTAACTTGTGTGACATGTTATTTACACAGCTGTGTGTTCTAACAGCCTTTGTATGCATACATGTTTGGAAAAAAAGCGCTTTAATTGTTATCTTTCAAATTGTTGTAATTATTTTTGTTTGAAAACTTTTGCGACCTGGTGTCATGTGGTTACATGGGTTATACGAGGGTTGTTCGGGAAATTCTGGGAATTTTGTCATATATCCTATATTTTTTGTTTCTAAGACGTAATATTTTGCACATACTAAGATTAGCATATCACGGAACTATTCCTAAAAACTGAATAGAATCAGACAACAATAGCCGGAAATAGCAGTAACCATAGCAACACTATAACGCCGCACCGGAGCAGTCCGAATCTAAAGAAAGGTATAACGCGCTACACTAATAATATTTCGTAATTTTGATAACGTAAAAAATGCGCGAAAACGCTGGTCAGCAGCGGAACGTCATGACGTCATTTCCTGAAAATATCATAACGTTATTTAAATTCTCAACGGATCAACATTGTTTTAAAGTTGTTGCCCAGAGCCACTAAGTAAACAACATGACGTCTAGCCTAATTAATTTGGCGTGAAATGTTTGACCCATTTTACAGACTTTTTTTTATTAGGTACTGTCAAACAGCGCCCGTCCAAAATTATCTCGGTGTCTCTTTGACAAGTCTAATTAGTTGGACTAAGCATAAGCAAGCTATAGTCTCGTCCTTTACCGATAGCTAGTACGTGAAAACATACAATAAGTGGATCAGCCGACACAGGAAATGCATCGAAATTGCAGGTGACTACGTTGAAAAGGTGCGACGATCGATGGACTTTAACGTCGCATAACGTTGCAAATGACGTCGGCGTGCTCCGGGTGTTTGTTATATGGTTATTTACTATTTTTATTATGTTTTAGTTTCTGTGTGTATGATGATGATATTTTCAGATACTGTACAGTATATATTGAAATAAATGCGTATATATTTATATTTACGCTATCCCGACTATGTACAACGTGTGCTATAAAACAATTCTCAGAACTTCCCGAACAACCCTCGTATTTAGTATAAGCTGGTTTAGTTATCGTCCTTTCCCTTTGTTACGCCTTTTGTAACTAACTTGTAAAACTTGACCGGCTTGAACTTTTGTCACTAAATTAAAGCTGATTTATGAGACAAAGTCCTAATGTGTCTAAGGTTTTACACAAGTCCATTCCACTTCGACTTACCGAAGATCCACTGTGTTAAGCAATGATTTCCAGAGAACATAAAGAAAATATGCAAACTTATTTCTTTCATTTAGATATTTTGGAATTATTCTCTTTCAAACTTGAAACATTATTTTTTTAAACTACAAATATTAATGTATGTTCAAATGAATAAATTGGTTGGTGAGATGAATACCTGAAAGTTAAATGAAATAGTTATTTTATTGACTTGGAATGTGCACTGATCAATTTCAATAACATTTGTTATCAAATAGGTCATCACAAGAAAGGGAAAAGGCAAGGAGAAAGTTAATTAGAACAGCATAAAAATTTCTTGCAGGAAGCTCTTCAAACCTTTATGGAACATATGGAAAACATGCAGGTAGATAATATTATTATACACAAGAAAGGTGTTAAAAAGTATGTGCAGGATCACATATTTTATTTATCTTTATGTTCATACAGGGAACACTAAGACATGGTGAACACAAAACTTTTAATTCAGGAACTGTTTCATTGTAAGTTTCATTATTGCATTATTATGTTTATTCTATAAGTCAACTAAAAACAATGAAAGAAAATTGAGTTCTATTTTTTATATAGAACGTAGTATACATAATTATGATCATTAGTATTTGTTTATAAAAAAGAAAATATGGCACATTTAATATAGGAATCACATTACTTGAAACGGTCCTTTAAAAAGAGATAGATTTAGGATTAAGTAATATTGATAACCTACAGTAAGTGATATTCAACTTCTCATGATCACTTAAACCGGATAGAAAAATTTGTAAATGTTACTAAAAATAAAATGTTACTAAATCTCATACACTCTTAACATTATTTTATAACTTTTTCACAACTTCATCTGATCTTAAAAGTTCCAAGAAATTATTGACTTATACAATTTTGTCATATCTTCTTTTTATTGCTGTTTTTGTTGATCCAGATTTCCTGTTTTATACTCATGTCAACATTCTCAAATTATGAAATATGGAAATAATGGATGATTATTTTACTGGTACACAGTTCTTTACTGGATCACACACCTACAGCAAGTTGTTTCTGGGCAGGAATCTATGTGCATCTGAAAAATATAGAGTGGTCTTATGAAAAAAAAAAATCACCTTAGCGAAATATTAATAATAAGGAATATTGTGTTTGTGTGTGCGTGCATGCCTGATTTCACAGTACATGTATATGAATGATACCTTTATCAAAACTGTATTTAAAATTGTACGCTGGATATTCTACATAAATTTTCCTTAATCTCTTTGCTGTTGCAAATAGGTTTTGATATGAAACTAGATTATCAGACTATTAATAACCTCAATTTCCCCGTAGGTTCCTTTCTTCTTACACTTCATACATTGGGCAGGCATTTTGAGCAGATCCATCTCAGCTCCTCTATTTCTTTTGCTAATGACCTGAAAATGATACATAAATAAACTGGTTAGAAGAGCAACATTATTGCAGTCTGTGATAGTTACAGAACAAAACAACACATTACTGAAACTGCTGTTCTTTGTGTGTGTTTTTTTTCAAAATGTAAAAAGCTCTACAAACTATGAATAACTCCTGTTTAGTTTTTACTAAATAATAAGAAATATATAATTGAGCGGTGCCATGACAAAACCAACATAATGGGTTTGCGACCAGCATGGATCCAGACCAGCTTGCGCATCCGCGCAGTCTGATAGGATCCATGCTGTTCGCTTACAAACCCTATAACAAGTAGAGAAACTGTTAGCGAACAGCATGGATCCTGATCAGACTGTGCGGATGCGCAGGCTGGTCTGGATCCATGATGGGCGCAAACCCATTATGTTGGTTTTGTCATGGCACGGCTCATATGTTTGTGCATTTACAAGGTTGTTGTGCTTGAAATAGTTAAAATAAATTAAATTTTGATCAGATATGAAAGAAAATATTGCAGTTTGGACAGTTTGGTTGATGCTACAGGTTAAGATGGAACAGTTCAATGGTGCTCATAATGTAATGTAAACAAACAATTTTTTTTTTTTATTTCATGCTTCTTTTAATTGATTTTAATTAATTTCTTTTGATGTAACATAGGGTCATGTTATGTGCTTTCTGACATAAAACATGTTTTAAAATAGCTATTACCTGCTTGCTACAATCTTCTGATTCTTCAATTCCTTCTTTTATACACCGCCAGCAAAATGATTTATTGTTTCTATAATACAAAATGTTGAAACTACAATATAAGCAAAATTTTACAAATGTTGATGTAGACTAATATTAAACTTTTAAATGTCTAGGAAAGCAGTATCATGAGGTTTACATTTTTGTTAAAAAAAAGTGTTGTGCATAGGAGTTAGGTCTCTAGTTCAAAAACTAAGGTCACACTTGTACATCAAACATTATAGTCTTTGTTTGTGAATAGCTTTTTTATAAATGAACAGACTTTAAAAAAAAATATACATAAATATGCTGGTTATTATGATGACATATAGTGAAAAAAATTTAGTTCGGCAGCCCAAAGGTCAGTTTTTATTATATACTTTTAAATGAAATATTATACAAATATGGACTTTTTAGCTGTTGAATATGATGTGATATGTATTGAAAAAATTAATATTGACCGAGGCGATAGCCGAGGTCAATATTAATTTTTCAGTACATATCACATCATATTCAACAGCTAAAAAGTACATATCTGTTTTATTATATAATCTATAAATAGCTTTTATATGGCTTATCACATCTGCCATTGCATACGACGGAAATCATTATTTTTCAGCTTGTCTACTTTTCCATAATTTGGACCTTTCCATTGGCATGCTAATCCCTATTTTTCTTAAAAAATGAAAAACAGTAACTAAAATAAAGACTAATTTGACTCTTATGTACACCCAACTCAACGTTTCTTCAGAATAAATAACAAACAAACTTGGCGTGACGTCACGCCAAAGTCTCGCGTTCTTTTAGGATTTCCAGAAAGTCTATTTTTAGAAGAAAAACCAGTGAATATACTCTGAAAATCTATTTTTAGGAAAAAAAACAGTGAATATACTCTGATATTGACCTGTTATTTTTTACAAAAAGTTGCTTGTTAGCCAATCAGGGAAAGGCATTTCAAAGCTATTTATAGATTATATAATAATGAGAAATATTGATGAAATAAAATGTGTATTTTCATTTTCTGTATTTTCACTGTAAAAATTTATTTCTCACTGCAGTGAAACATATTTTCCGTATTTTCACTGGTGTCTTGCAGGACTACTTTCTTTTAAATTCTGCCAGTAATCAAAATTGAAGGGAAAGTCTTTCAAATTTTGATGTCCAGAAAGAGAAAAATGTATATAATAAACAGAAAATTCAAGTTTTTTTCTATAAATACATGATTTATTTTCATCTTGTGGCATGAAAATTACCATATTTCACTCGTGGCTACCGCCACTCATGAAATATTTATTTTCATACCACTCGATGAAAATAAATCATGTATTTATAGAAATAACTTGAATATCCTCTATGTACTTGAATGTCTAAATGTAATAACTTGGCTTAAATATTTATTTTAAAACAATTTGTGATGAGTGAGATTATGCTTGTAGCTTAGAAATCAAGGTTGTACTCGGACATACAAGGTCTAGTTTCATAAAAGTACATTGGTTGTCATCTCCAGTTAACTATTCTGTCATTCATGGAATAGATTTTATTAGACAGCATACTAACTCTTATGTGTAACATTTGGAAAAATTGTTACATGCAAACCTTAGGTTGATATCTAGAGTGGTGTGGAATATACTTGGATGTTAAATATTACATTGATGGTTGTGTTTGGTCATTTCTTTGTCATTTATTAATGAATGCTTTTTGAAATAATTGATCACTGAGGATATGAAAATATGTAAATGTTTCTATATTTTTGAAACAACGATTTTTTAGTAAGCATATGTTTGTTGTTAATCAAAGGTCATTGTTCCTCTATTGGACCCTGCGAAGAGGGGTTTTGGGTGGCATTTGTCAGTTTGATATTTATGTTTTGATGTGTTATATTCATTATTTTTCCATTGCTGCTAAATAAAAAAAAAGTACATCTATTTAGTTATGAATGTAGCTTACCCTTTATTAAGGTAACATATTCCACAGAATAGATGTCCATGTTTCAACTCTACAAGAAGGTTAAGGCATTTACTGCAATGGCTACAAGTCACCTGCATGCCTGGTCTTACATTCCAAACTTTAATTTTACCCATTCTGGAAAATATAGTAAGTTTATTTGTAAGGAAATTATCAGAATTTTTTTTTGGCAGATGTATATGTGGGTGGGGAAGCCTGTTTTATGAAACTAAATGTTGTATTTCAAGAGATTCATAAGGAATTGCATGTACAAAATTGACTTTTTTATTGAAATGCATAGTTCTTATTTTACATTAATACATGTATGTATTATTTGTTTTTTCTTAAAGGTTTATTGTATTTTGACAGGCTAATTATCACTTTTTATTTAAAAGGAAGTTTCATGAGTCAATTAAGTTTATTTATGATATCAATCCCAAGGAAGCTAATTTCTTAGACACTCAAATTAGTAAGGACAACACAGGTATTCTTCAAACTACAAATTTTGAGGAACCCTCCTCATCGTCTAGTACAGAAACGGTTTGCCAAGACGAGTATGGTATGTTTAGTGAAACAAACGAACTCATTATAAACATTGGACAGATTAATGGGTTATTAAACAAAGCATAATTAACTTGTGATCCTTTTTATTCAAACAATATACATGATATACTTAATGATAAGCTCGTTGGAATAATGCCAAAACTATATCTATTATTAGCAACAGTACTTCAGTAGTTAGAATTTGATATTTTTTAAGCCTGGTGAAGAGTATTGTATTACTCGAAACTAGTAGCCAATAAAAACTTTTTAAACTTGACCTGGTGTTGTAAATGTGTCCCTCGCCGACTTTATTCATGATTTTAAAGGAAGTTGTACAACACTGCATTATGGGTACATGACGTCAAATTCAGTGCGGTACATGTTTTAATAGCGCATAACAAAACGTGATCTGTATTTCTTTTCAGTTTGGCAATAGTTGAAATTTTTTAAATCGTAATCGTTTTAAATGTTATATGGTTTATTGGTATTCCAAAGATTCATGTTTCGGCACTTATAATATAAGTCAATAACTTATTATTTAGCACGGACGGCAAAAAAACAACTTGAATGACTTGTCATATTTACCGTCATTGTTTAGTTATACCTTTGTAGACCGTTGTTTTTATTAAAACAGATCAATACTGTAAAATTCAATTTGTGAAGATCAAGCTTTACTGATTACGAATTACGAACAAGCTGCCCTCCATGCTTTATTTAATTGACATTACAAGACAACCAACAACCATTAGTAAGTTAGTTTGGTGGCAGAATTCAAAGTCTGGAAGATTCAAACCTTCAGCAATAATGGGAAAGTGATTTCAATCCAGCCATCATAGAGAACCTCTCATAGTGCTCATCTGCAGATATGAAGTCTAGCACGTAGATTTTTAGCTAGAATTTTATAACTGATAGTGAGGCTACCTTTCTCACTCGGGTGTTGTATGTACAATATGTCATTTACCTCTAAAGATATTTGCAGGTGACTTCACTTATGGGTTTCATAATTGGAGGTCATTGTCCAAGGGCCATAACTCTAGTGTGGACTTTGTCTGAACTATGGCGCTTTTTTAAAAAGCAAAACTCCTAGTTAAGGTTAATATTTTGTATGCATCATCAATCTGCAAAACTACTGAACTTATTCACTTAAAACTACATGTCTTTGGGATCATAACTGCCTAAGGCCTATAAAACTGACCTGGATTTTAACTGAATTATGTCAATTTATGAACTCTGAAAATTCCTTAAAGCTAATAAAGATGTTGTCTTTGGGATAATAAATTTCAGCTATTTCCCCCCAAGACCTTTTTTTTTTTTTTTAAATAAAACTTACCGCTTTACTAACTTGTATATTACCCAGGATATTGTTTAACTATAAAGCAGTGAGAATTATTCTGTCCCTCCCACTTTAGGTAGTATTTTAGTGGTTCATAAGGACACTTTGTATTCTATTTACAAGTTCTAGCAGCTAATGTTTCAAATGTGCAAACTACCATGGTCTTTGAATTTTAAAATGCAGTATAAACAGGAATTTTGGTCATTATTTGCTTATATTATGTTTTAAATAAGTGCAGATCATATACACTACCTTGAAAAGAAGTGTAATATTATGGTATCAATGATCTGTTTTATTCTAGACACTTTTTTCAATCAGATTTGATAAAGAACTGTCTGGACTTTGTTTTTGCTATTCCTAATAGTAGATATTCTGCATTATCTACTTACTTTGCTTTTATGTTCCTTCATATATAGATAAGCCAAGAGCATCTTGCTTTTTTGTTGTCTGCTGACATCTTTGAACACTTCCATCATTTTAAAGAATGAATCCCTCCTACTTGGACACATAGAACTTTTGAAGAAGAACTTGACTGATTTTGAGGTCATTTTCAATAGTCAGGCTTTTTCACTATGACTTATTATTAAGTACAAGACTGAAGCATTTATGTTTTACTACCACATCTTGTTATATGTATAAAGTGTTATAAAGTGTTTCAGACATGTGAAGCATAGTTCTTTAAAGAATATTGTTTTATGTACCAGTTCTTAAGTTTTTACTGCAAGACAGTTTCATAAACTGAATTTGAGTAAGTTATTTGACATCAACATAAAACTTGATGTAGAAAGTGTACCATATGCGCATACTTTTTTGCTTTGATGTGCCTTCTAAACAGAACTTTTTTAATCACTCTTGTTCCATTATGATTTCTTATACAAGAATATTGCTGAAGGCAGTGAATTCACATTGCACTTTCTGTATAACTCTGTGATGTGTTAATAAGATTATTCCAATACTTTTTTCAGTTATTCCCCAGTCAAGCATTATAAATTGTAAAGGGAGATAATAAAAATAATAAGTTATATTGTTCCTATAACAGTGAAGTTTCAGAGAGATATAACTGACAGTCTAGATAATATACTCAAGATAGGCATTAGTTAACATTTTAAAGTATCATAAAGGGAGATAATTAAAAAATAAGCGAGGTAGAAATTTGGTCCTTCAACTCTTCACTTCCTTTCACTGGTCATTCTCATTGTGTGAAGTTTCAAGACTAAAAAATTATTCTCAGGAAAATCATTAAATATTATAAGGAAGGTTATTTAAAAACTTAGTATGTATAGTACTGCACTTCTCACATTTTTTACAAATGGGTGAATTTAGAAAGTAGCCTCTGGACAAGCATTTTTTGACATTTCTAAATATTGTTTGTAAAATGTATGATTCTTAATTTAAACAAGTGAAAATTATGGTTCTATGATGCTGCACTTCTATAACTATATGAAGTGTTGACCAAATTCCTACAATACTTTAGATATTTAAAAAATAATCTCTGTAGAATTATGATGTGTTAACACTTCACTCTTAATATATGTGTGAAGTTCCAATGAAATATCATTGATTTGATAATTTAGAAGTTATACTCTGAACAGGCATAATTCAATTAAAAATTAAGCTAGGTAGAGTAATGGTTCTGTGACACTGCACTTCCTTTCACTGGTCACTATCAAATTCCATCAATACTTTTCAAGTTATCCTCCATATAAAAGTGTGATAGACATCAAAATAATTTTGTTCGAAATTTCCTCTCTTTTTTTATCCATGATCATAGAGGTTCTCACAAAAATCCTTACTCAATGATCTTCCCATTTTGTCATATTTTTTATTGTACTTATTTATGTTTTTATTTATTTAGTCTTAAACTTAATCCTTTTTTTTTCAGTAACATAGTCTTTATTATTTTACAAGAATTATCCATATATTTTTCTTTTCCTCTTCTGTAACTGAATTAACTCATTCAAAAATAAGATCTTAAATATATAAATACTCATTTAACTTATAACTGCTTTTTATGTATATAAAGGAACAATTCGGTTATTTAAAATCATTGAGATCTTTTCAAATTTATGGCATAAGTATGTATTGATTTCTTAAAATCAATACTAAAATCAATAATTATGTATAGAACTACGATTAAGAAGTAAGATAACCCAACCTATTTATCAAACTTATAACCCGTAAAAAACCAATATTGAACAAGAGGGCCATGAAATAACTGTTTTTCATTGTTGGAAATTATTCATTGTCAATATTTTCTAGTATTAGATTTGAGCATAGAATATCTTTAGTAAATGCCATGGGGCATTTAAGCTTTAGCTTAAACGGGACAATCAACTTAATATGAGCAAACTTAATAAAAGACTACCTAAGAATGCTACAGACAAAGTTTGGTGATCATCCATCAACTATTTCAGTAGGAAATGATGTTCAAAGGTTTTTTTTAGCTCACCTGAGGTTGCTCAGGGTGAGCATTTAGGATTGTTGAATGTCCGTTGTCCGTCCACACTTGTTCATTAACACTCTAGCAGTCACATTTTTGCCTCAATCATCATCAAACTTTGTCAGGATGCTTCTCTAGTTGATAGTTCGGATGAGTTCGAACATGGGTCATCTCAGATGAAAAAGTAAGTCACAGGAGCAAAAAACAGAACTAGAACTCCGCGAGTCGGATGTGTCGCCTTGTGAACAATATAGTTTAGGATGGCCAGGACAAAAATGAAATTTGAAAATCAACAAAGGGCAATAAATCAAAAAATAAGAAATGCAGAGCAGCAGTTTCTGTGCACTGCACTTCTTATCAATAAGATCTATCACCCTATTAATTTTCAAGTCTAAAGCTTTTATAGTTTATGAGAAATGGCCTTGATAAAAATAAAGTTTGAAAATTTACAAGGCCAATAACTCAAAAAACAAGAAATGCAGGGTACCAGTTCTTGGGCACTGCACTTCTTCTTAATGAGATCTATCATCCTATGAAGTTTCATGTCCATAGCTTTTATACTTTAGGAGAAATGGCCTGGACAAAAATAAAGTATGAAAATTAACAAAGGGCAATAACTCAAAAAAAAAGAAATGCAGAGTACCAGTTCTTGTGCACTGCACTTCTTCTTAATGAGATCCAGCATCCTATGAAGTTTCATGTCCATAGCTTTTATACTTTAGGAGAAATGGCCTGGACAAAAATAAAGAATGAAAATTAACAAAGGGCAATAACTCAAAAAATAAGAAATGCAGAGTGCCAGTTCTTATGCACTGCACTTCTTCTTAATGAGATCTATCATCCTATCAAGTCCATAGATTTTATACTTTAGGAGAAATGGTCCGGACAAAAATAAAGTATGAAAATTAACAAAGGGCAATAACTCAAAAAATAAGAAGTGCAGAGTACCGGTTCTTATGCACTGCACTTCGGGTCATTGCAGGAATCATGCATACGAAGTTTGAAGTCAATTTGACTTATAATGACTGACTTATGCTCTGGACAAGCTTAAGGACACCGACAAGGACACCGACGCCGACAACGACGCTGCCGACAAAAGTAACCCCTATATGTCACCTTTTTCAAGGCGACACAAAAACCTTGTTAACATTCTAGGGGTCACATTTTTGCCTCAATTATCATCAAATTTGGTCAGGATGCTTGTCTAGGTGATAGCTCGTATGAGTTTGAACATGGGTCATCTCGGATGAAAATCTAGGTCACTGGAGCTAAAAATAAAAAAACTTTGTTAACACTCTAGTGGTCACATTTTTGCCTCAATCATCATCAAACTTAGTCAGGATGCTTGTCTAGGTGATAGCTCGGATGAGTTCGAATGTGGGTCATCCTGAATGAAAAACTAGGTCACCGGAGCTAAAAATAGAAAAACCTTGTTAAAACTCTAGCGGTCACATTTTTGACTGAACCATCATCAAACTTGGTCAGGATGCTTTTCTAGGTATTAGCTTTGAACATGGGTCATCTCAGATGAAAAACTAGGTCACAGGAGCTAGAAATAGAAAAACCTTGTTAACACTCTAGTGGTCACATTTTTGACTCAAATGTCATCAAACTTTGTCAGGATGCTTGTCTAGGTGATTGCTCTGATGAGATCTAACATGGGTCATCTCGGATGGAAAAACTAGGTCACAGGAGCTTAGAATAGAAAAATCTAGTTATCACTCTAGCGGTCACATTTTTGCCTCAATTATCATCAAACTTGGTCAGGATGCTTGTCTAGGTGATAGCTCGGATGAGTTCGAACATGGGTCATCTGAAATGAAAAACTAGGTCACAGGAGCTAAAAATAGAAAAATCTTGTTAACACTAGAGGCTACTGATTTGATGCAAATATCTTGTAAAATGGTATGAAAGTTTGTTTTAATGATCAAGATCGAATATGGGTCACCTGGGGTCAAAAACTAGGTCACACTGCCCAAATGTTGAAAAATCTTGTTAACATTCTAGTGGTCACATTTTTGACTCAATTACCATCAATTTTGGTCAGGATACTTTTCTAGGTCATTGCTCAGATGAGTTCGAACATGGGTCATCTTGGATGAAAAACTAGGTCACCAGAGCTAAAAATAGCAAAATCTTATTAACACTCTAGTGGCTACTGTTTTGATCCAAATATCCTGTAAATTGATCTGAAAGTTTGTTTTGATGATTTCTAGGTCAAGTTTGAACATGGGTCATCTCGGATGAAAAACTAGGTCACACTACTCAAATATGGAGAAACCTTGTTAACACTCTAGTGGTCACATTTTTGACTCACCTGTCTTGAAACTTGGTCAGAATGCTTGTTTGATGGGTCAGGTGAGCGATCTAGAGCCATCATGGCCCTCTTGTTTGTCAAATAGATACTTTTAGTCATGACAACTTTCTAGATGTATAAGTGAAGCAAGACCTTGCGCTTGTGAATATAATTTAAGGCAAGGGCAGCACCCAAGTTAGAAACCACCAACTGTCCTTAAAGTAGCTTATTGAAGATCTTTATTCCTCGGCTTAGTCTTGTTTATTCCATTTGTAATGTAGTAATTGACTGACACTATTCTTCCAACTTGATGCTCTAAAAATAAGCCTAGATTTCACATGCTTATAAGAATGTCAGTATTACTAATACTTTTAAAGATATTCTAGTACTAATTGTTAACTATATACAGCTTGCATGAATGCTGGACATTGTTGTTAATAGGGTTTTATGTTGTTATAATTTGTATGATTTTGCTGTCAAATATTGTTGACATTTTTACCTGATTTCAAATAAAGATTGAATCCATGTGTGTGTTTATTTGACATCCGATTGCTGCCTGTGAGCTGCAAAATATCCACAATCTACTAGACTTAGAGGTTTAGTAAATAATAGAAATTGCCCAACACAACAGAATTGAAAATGTTGCAGACTAAGGTTTGTTGATGGCAGTGGTATTAAAAAGATACTATCAACTTCCTCTTGTACCAGCTTAAATAGAGCACAGCATTCAAACAAGGTAATGTTGGTAAATTAAGAACTTTTTAACATCGGATATGATCATGCAGCATTATTATAAAACTTTCTATGTGCTACTAAAGTGTCACAGGTAGTTAAGATGGCTGTATTTTCCTGATCCAACACATTATATACGTTACAATATTAATAAGGAATGAATGTTTGCGTATGTAAACTGTACAAACAGAAAGCAATAGTAAATGAATTGTATACATAATTTGTATAATAATTTGTATTTAAGTGATTTTTTTTGTTTGTTTCATAGATTTCAATATAAAAATCCTTGAATTAAGCAACCAACAGTAAGTATAGATTCAATTCAAATTGTCAAGCTAGCTTGCAGAACTTTGATGGATCTACTCAGGTGCCCGTTAATGCCTGGAGTAATGCACGGAATTGTTGCCATATTACCAAAATAGTTTGGTACAACCTAAAACCAACCCCCCCCCCCCCCCCCCCCCCAAAAAAAACAACAAGAGCCGGTTGAACTGGGTGATGCTCCACGAATAGGTTTTGGACACAGGAAGGTATACCTCTTGTAGTGTCAGAGTTATGTCACAGACAAAGTTCAAAGTGTAAAAACAGCCCAAATGTTGTGCACGACACATTGTCTCAATATGGTGATCATTTCTGTGAAACAGTTGTAAAATCTGACTTCAAATAACGAAGTTATGGGCCGGACATGATTTTGCTGCAAGGTCATGCTGTGACCTTGACCATCAAGGTAGCGACCCAAATGTTGCACACGACACGTCAATTCAAAATGGTGATTATCTCTGTGAAATAATTGTTAAATCCGACTTCAAGTAACAAAGTTATGGGCCCGACACGATTTTGCTGCAAGGTCATGCTGTGACCTTGACCTTCAAGGTAGCGACCCAAATGTTGCTCGCGCCACGTCATCTCAATATGGTAATAATTTGTGTGAAATAGTTTTACAATCTGACTACATATTACGAAGTTATGGGCTGGATATGATTTTGCTGCAAGGTCATGCTGTGACCTTGACCTTCAAGATAATGACCCAAATGTTGCGCGCGACACGTCATCTCAATATGGTGATCATTACTGTGAAATAGTTTTAAAATCCGACTTCAAATAACAAAGTTATGGGCCAGACACGATTTTGCTGCAAGGTTATGCTGTGACCTTGACCTTTAAGGTAACTACTGAAATGTTGCGCGTGATACGTCGTCTCAATATGGTAGTCATTTCTGTATAATAGTTTTAAAATCCGACTTCAAATAATGAAGTGATGGACCGGACACTATTTTGCTTCAAGGTCATGCTGTGACCTTGACCTTCAAGGTAGCAACCCAAATGATGCGCGCAACACGTCATCTAAATATGGTGATCATTTCTGTGAAATAGTTTTTAAATCCGACTTCAAACAACAAAGTTATGGGCCGGACACGAATTCGGGACTTACATAAGGACGGACTGACGACTATTTGCTCCAATGACCAATCACCATACCAAGTTTGAAGTTCCTAGGCCTAAGCGTTCTTTAGTTATTGATCTGAAACTGTTTTTACCTACAAAGGTCAATGTGACCTTTGACCCCTTGACCCCAAAATCAATAGGGGTCATCTGCTGGTCATGACCAATCACCATACCAAGTTTGAAGTTCCTAGGCCTATGCGTTCTTTAGTTATTGATCGGAAATGGTTTTTACCTACAAGGTCAATGTGACCTTGACCTTTGACCCCAAAATCAATAGGGGTTATCTGCCGGTCATGACCAATCACCATACCAAGTTTGAAGTTCTTAGGCCTAAGCGTTCTTTAGTTATTGATCGGAAACCGGACACGAATTCGGGACGTACGTACTGACGGACAACCCCCCGACGACTATATGCTCCCCCAAAATTTTTCGGGGAGCATAAAAATACATATGCTGTGCTGTTTGTAAAAGTGACATATTGTATTTTGAAAAGTGACTGGGTCAATGGTAGAAGCCCTCGCTATGAGGAATGTTGTATCCATATTATGGCCCAGGCTAGATTTAAGTTGTTAGAATACAAAGACCATACACAACTTACATGGGATTAATTGGGTTGGGTTCAACATCGCACCAACACATGGCGACTTTATAACTTTACTGGTGATGTACATCTCCATGGATTATTTCATGCACAAACAAGCACCCAAGTAGAACCAGAACATTCCACAAGCTAGCTTGATAGCTTCCTCAAATGAAGGAATCAAAAGTCCTTGGTTGAAAATTAAGCCAACAGCGGTAATGGGCAAGTGGTTTGACTTCATCAGTCATAAACCGTAACCACTAGGCCTAAATACTTGGTATAACTATTTTTCAGGAAATCATAAACAAAAGTATATCTCTATCAAATCTTTATTTTTCATTATATACAATCAGGCAGCAGTAGAAATGAATAAATAAAACTGCCATATTTCCAACAGAAGCATAAAATTCCATGAGTAAACATTCATTCATGCATCAACAACAAATACAAGAGAAAGCCAGTCATGGGGGGACAAAGGTATATAGATGAAGCACTTATTTCAATAAAAATGAGCTGCGTCACAACAAAACCAACATAGTGCATTTGCGACCAGCATGGATTGGGACCAGCCTGCGCAGTCTGATCAGGATCCATGTTGTTCGCCTACCAACTCTATTACAAGTAGAGAAACTGATAGCGAACAGCATGGATCCTGATCAGACTGCGCGAATGCGCAGGCTGGTCTGGATCCATGCTGGTCGCAAACACACTATGTTGGTTTTGTTGTGACGCAGCTCAAATATCAATATTAATTCATTCACAACATATGATTAAAACATCATTTCATAACATGACAATCATTATGACAATGAAGTGACTTTATGAAGATTTTAAACCCTTACCACACCAAATATCTTAAAATGGACTTGTCTATCTTAAAATCTGGAAGAATCCATTTATCATTTCTAGGGAAAATTACAAAATATGTGCTAAATGAACAAGAGGGCCATGATGGCCCTGAAGTCGCTCACCTGTATATAGCACCCCCCCCCCCCCTGGCAGGGCCAATTTTAACCCAAGGGCTTTTATTTGAACAAACTTGGTAGACACCCATAAGATGTTTCATGCTAAACATCTAAGCTCTAGCTCATTGGGTTTCTTAAAAGAAGATTTTTTAAGTTTTTACTATACACATATAGTTAATAAATGACACCCCTGGGGCGGGGCCAGTTTTGACCCCAGGGCTTTTATTTGAACAAACTTTATAGACACTTACTAGAAGATGTTTCATGCTTAATATCTAAACTCTAGCTATTCCGTTTTTTTCAAAGAAGAGTTTTAAGTTTTGCTATACACATATAAGGAAAATCAATGACCCCCAGGGCGGGGCCAATTTTGACCCCAGGGCTCTTATTTGAACATACTTGGTAGACACCCATTAGAACATGTTTCATGCTAAATATCTTAGCTCTAGCTCTTTGAGTTCTTTAAAAGAAGATTTTTTAAGTTTTTACTATATGCATATAAGGAAAATCAATGACCCCTGGGGCGGGGCCAATTTTGACCTCAGGGCTTTTATTTGTACAAACTTGGTAGACACTCATTAGAAGATGTTTCATGCTAAATATCTTAGCTCTAGCTCTTTGAGTTCTTTAAAAGAAGATTTTTTATGTTTTTACTATATATATGCATATAGGGAAAATCAATGACCCCCTGGGGCCGGGCCAATTTTGACCCAAGGGCTTTTATTTGAACAAACTTGGTAGACACTCATTAGAAGATGTTTCATGCTAAATATCTTAGCTCTAGCTATTTGGGTTCTTTAAAAGAAGATTTTTTAAGTTTTTACTATATGCATATAGGGAAAATCAATGACCCCCTGGGGCGGGGCCAATTTTGACCCCAGGGCTTTTATTTGAACAAACTTGGTAGACACTCACTAGAAGATGTTTCATGCCAAATATCTAAGCTCTAGCTCTTACGGTTTTTTAAAAGAAGATATTTTAAGTTTTTTCTTTCGGTTGCCATGGCAACCAGAGTTCTGCATGGAATTAAATTCTTTGAACAATTTTTTGAAGGTGACCACCAAGGGAACATTCCTGTGAAGTTTGGATGAAATTGGCTTAGTAGTTTATGAGGAGATGTCATTTAAAGTAAAAGTTTACGGACGGACGCCGGACGAAAAGCAATCACAAAAGCTCACCCTGTCACTTTGTGACAGGTGAGCTAATAACAAACAGTGGAGACCATGATCAGCCGTTATGGACATCCTGGCTAATCTTGGTCTACACTGGTCGCATAGGTAGAATTAGTTTTGCCAGCAAGAGTTTTACTAACTACATGTATATACTATATTTGTCTGATATAACCCCCTAATATGACTTAAAACATGAACATGGGATCAAAATCTTATAAAATTTATACAGAAAGATAAAATCTAATATAGTAATTCCTGAAATTAAGGCAATGCTTTTAAATGTCGAAAGAATTTTTTTTCAAAATATTACATGTATTAAACAAAATTTGTTTAGCAAATGTTGATATGGCTTTACCTATAATGTACATTCAATATTCTACACAGAACAAGAAAAATTTAGAAATGCCCAGAAACACATAGGACAGATGTAACACACAACTGCTATTTACTGGAGATCAACCAATAAGATCTGTGTTCTTAGCGTCTCGCGTCATTGTGATCTCCATATAATTATAATGCTACTAATAATCATAATTTCTAAGTTAAGTAATTATCCTAGACATCAAACAAAATTTTTATTTCACTGCTTATTGCAAATCTAGCCTATATCCTTTACATACATGCATAGACTAGTTTTTTGTTAAGCCCGTGAGTCTACCAACGCTAAATATTCTTTAATTTAACAAGAATTGTCCATAAAACAGCGTGCACAACTACAGGTATATAGTAAGGAAAGAGGCATAACTCTGTAATAAGATACATGTAAGTCAGAGTTATGGGACTTGTGCCCATCATGGTAGATAATCACAGAGAACATCACAGAGAACAAATGTGTGAAGTTAAAACCCATTCCCTTCAATAGTTTCGGAGATACCAACTTGCACGCAAAAACTTAACCAAAGCCAACCGACACAAAGGTGTGTACAACAGCTCTTCTTATTCTTCCAATAGTCAAGCTAATAAAGTCTGTAATAATGCATCACTTAAATCAATTAATTTGTACACTAGAAAATATTCATATTTTACATATTTTTTTATAAATTTTCACACAAAAAATCAATCAACATAAATCTTGAGGTATGCTGCTTTAAGCATGAACAAGTGTTATGACGCAACAACTACTAACAGTTTGGTCATCATGAAACTAGGCTTCTACATTAGAAATACTTCATTTCAGCAAGCACACTACATACAGTGAAAGAACTAGCCTTGATCAACACAAAGCATACATGTAATATATCTACATACAAAAAACAATTTAACTTGATCAAATTTCATTTTCTCTTTACACTATGAATCAACAATGTCCAATTATATTTACAATTACTTTACATATTAAAACATTCCCTATTAAGTGTCAATTATAGAATAAAAATATGCATGTAAAAAAAAATATGGAAGAATAACACATGAAAAAAATATATGTACATGTAAAATACATGTTTTCGTGATCTATTGTCAAACCTGTGTTAATGACAACCTATGGATAAGGATAACCTTTATATAAAGGCCACTTTTTAGATACTCATTGATTAAATGGGATAAAGTAACATCCGAACAAAGTAACCTTCAAATAAAGACCACTTGTCTATAAAGACCATGTTTTATTTATCTCTATGGTGACCTTTCTTCACTGGTTTGACTATAATGAGAACATTTCTGTCATTAAATCTACACAATGAGACCACAGTTTATACCAAGCACCAAATAACAAGGCTGACGAAATATAGAGAAAAAATTACATGTTCAAACCTTATAATACCTTTTTCAAACTGCTTAAATACTTAAGGTATATAACAGCAGTGTTTACAGGAATAAAAACTAACTTTTGATTAACTCAAATCTCATTTTTTCTTCATCTAATCTTTTTACACCACACTCGATTTTTGAAGAATAATGTCTTCTTTGAGAAAGTAATTTATATTCAATTATTTCCAAATTGATTTTAGTATTCTTTTACACTATGTTTTCTAAAATATACATCACACTTGCTGTTGACAAACACTATACAAAACTGTTCCCGGTATGAAAATAAGCAAATAAACATATTAACTGCACTTACACAATATATTTGGCCAAAAAAAAATGAGAAGAAATAAACACATCAAGCAAAAAATACCCCAATATAACCTCACCACTATTTACCCAATTAAACTTTACTGGCTCCACTAATCCATAAGCTACCTGGTTAGCTTTCTTGCATGAAAAAATTTCAAAGTCCCTGGCGGGATTCGAACATACAGAAATGGAGAGCATGGCTAGTCAACCAGGAAGCTTATCGACTCAACCATGGAGGTTAACGACTGTAACAGTGAACTAAATCTGTACAGCAAACACATGTTGGTGATGAATATTCATAGAATATAGCAGTGTATGAAATAATTTACACAATGCTAACTGAACCCCTAACCTGCTGAAACCCACAAGTATAAATCCCTTGCCAGTTGCCACCAGTATAGAGCCAGGCCAGTCTGACCAGGCTCTATACTATTGGCAGACTTACTTAATTTTTTTTATCTTGATATACCTAAAATATGATAATGATACTAGAAATCTAAGCAGTTCCCGAACTTGAAATCTGAGCAGTTCTGAAAGTGGAAATCTGAGCAGTTCCGCAACTGGAAATCTGGGCAGTTCCGAAACTGGAAATCTGAGCAGTTTGAAAACTGGATATCTGAGCAGTTCCGAAACTGGAAATCTGGACAAGTGTATAATGGAAATATAGCAGGTTAAGGGTAAAATGAAGCATTCTACAATACTGAGCAATAACATATAAACTGTACAATAAACAACAGTATACAGCATTTACAATGTACTATGTCATTATGCCTGTATATATAATGTATGTCCCACAAAAATATAACTAATGACTCATAACACTATATGACATTTTATAATACTTAACATTTGTAACACTGATTCTGATTGGACAATCATAATGTTTATAACATCTATATGAACCGCTGCCGCAAGTTTATGAAAGGTAGCCATTTTGCAGTATTTTTTAATTTTGTTACAGAGACTTGTGACAGGTTATATGGCTGCCTATAAATAGCCGTTTGCCATATAACCATCACTTTGAAACTTTTGGTTATATAACCTTGTAAGCATTGATAATGGGTCATATAACTTGTCAAATGCCTTAATAGCTACCAAAATGGACTTTCAACTATACAATTATATATCCCTCGTTACAGTTACAATTTTGCACAAAAATTTCATAACTCAAAACTTATCAATATTGTTTTTCACATTAAACTTGATGAAAAGAACTACATTTGTGTATTTCCTTAAATTCAACAATCAAAATAGGTCACTGTTAAACATGATCATTTCAAACAAAAAGAAAAGAAAAAAAAATGAAGAAAAAGAATGACATAATCACAAACACTGCAATGTAATGCTTTCAAAGAGGTAAATAATCAAATTGCACACAAAGAAAACTGAATATCTCTAACACTAACATTGCTATTATTTTCATAATGGCCTTTTTTTGCTTAAAATTTGGAACTTCCCATTATTATTTCAAGGGGGTTATAGTTCCAAAAGCTAATATTGAGCAATGGACATTATAGAGTTTGGTTACACCCCATGGACAGGTTTTAACTCTTGACAGTATTGGAGCAGTGAACATTTGCAAAAATCATGATCACAAAGTAGAAAAATATTACTTTTTTTTTTCACCGATTCTTATATTTTTCATTCATTTTCGTAAATATAAATCTGTGTAAAGATGAATTGGACATATTAAAATGTATTCTGGCAGGTGAAGAGGCGAGTTTTTAGCATTTAATCATTCAAGCGCCTTATCCGGTATATACCGGAATATGGAATTTATGGAATTTAGCGTGGTGCTCCCACACTTTTTTAGTCTCACTGGCATGGATATTCAGTCTGAACAGACTTTATACTGGTGGTTTTGGCAAGTCATTTTTTGCAACTTGCATTCAAAGACTAAAAATATACACTATGGAATTTAAATAAATTTCATGTAAGATGAATTTATAGAATTAAACATAAATATCTGGTCAAAATTTCTTCTATCCCATCTTCCTGCTTAACCATCAATATCATATTCACCTCTGTACAGCACAATTCCCCTTTTTATCTTGTAACAGAAATCAATATTTCATTTTTTTCAACACAATTGGTTAGCATGCACATAATCATTGAACGATGAAAAATATTTTTTCAATATAAAGGAATGGCCTCTTAGATTTACACAGCTTAAATTCGCAAACAGGCACCGATTATAACAATAAATTAAGTCCTCTTCAATTGCAAATAAACTAACATGTCTATAAATGCACATAATAAATTTTGACAAAAAAGAAACATTCACTGGTTTAGTCTAAAACATTTCCCGCTATGATTCCTCATCATAAGAATCACCGTCATCATCATCTACAAGTCCTGCAAACTTGTTACCATCACTGAAATCCTGTCAAAATAGAAATATGTACTAACCTTTATTCAATGAATTGAAATAATATAAAACAGAAATTCTCATATCACAGGACCTTAAGGTTTTTTTTTAAAAAAAAGGGGACAGGTTTAAGTTTTTGTTTGATTTTACGGCGCAGCAATGTAATTTAGGTCACATGGTCCCAAAAAAGTAAAGATGATTTTGACTAACCTTGGGTGTTACAAACTTCAAGCAACACCAGGGATCAAAAGCATCTCACCTTCTAGAGCAAACTCCTCACAGTGATTACCTCCCTTGGCAGAATTGTAATCACAGCCTTCAAAGGCGTCACATGATGATGAAAGTCACATGACGTAACGTCGAAATTCAAATGTAAATATCGACCGTTACAAAGAAAATCTAACGTTAATCCTAGAGCTAAGAGATACATAGACTCCAGTAATTCGAACCCATTTTGCCGCCTCTTACAATCACGCAGGGATAAACAGTAGCTGTAATTCAAATGCCTCAACCTTAAAAGGCAAAACTCTCAGCCACAAGGGGGAATGGGTTTCGGGAAGAAAAACCTTTTTATCTTACATTCATAGAAAAATATAATGACAAACATATTTACGGTAATTATTAAATAAAAAACTGAACTATATACCTTATTCTTTTTCTCTTCAAATTTAGGCATTTCATCTATTGACTGGGGTAATGGTTTCTCTTTCTTTTCCCTGAAAAATGTCGTCAACAAGTGTGATAATTATATGCTTAACCCTATGCCTGCTGGTGGCAACAGATTATAACCATGTGACCAGTGCAGACCAAGTCTAGCAAGCATGTCTGTGTTGCCTGATCATGGTCTGCACTGTCTCCATTTATATATTTGTCCAGACTGAAAGGGGGACAAATCAAATTAAGATATTGGTGGTGGCAAGGGTTAATTGCAATTTATTTTACATTATTTTAAAGCAGCATGCCTTCCAATTCATGCTAATTGTCATAAGAAGTTATCATCAAAATACTAAATCTACTACTGTCAAGTGAACAAATAAAATGACATAAGTTGATAAAATTTCTATTTAAGTTTTAATCAAGCTTACTTTTGGCGAGGGGGTTCACCACGGCCCCGACCGAATCCTCCTCTTCCACCGCGCCCTCTACCTCTGTCCCCGCCTCCACGACCTGCCCAGGCATTTGGGACATTTTGCTGGTTAGCTACAGGAGTTGGTCCGGGTTCTATACATAATGAGAGTACAAAATATCTTAAACATGACATTCAAGGAATATAAAGTTTTTATATTTTATGTACATATACAAAAATCATTGTTTTTTGCAATGATAATCTCAAAGCATCTTATAATTCATGTCTTCTTATATGTAAGGGGATGTCACATTTCTTTTAATGCTTAAAAAATTACAATGTTACATTTTAATGACAGTTTAAATTGATGTTAACATTTTAATTTTTATCTTTAATGCCTAAAAGAAAATATATAAATTTCCTCGAAAATATCATTAATTTTCTATACACTTTCCAAAGAAAAATATTTTGTAACATAACTGTCATTCTTAATTCGGGCACATTTATACAGATTTGTACCTTGAATTAAGAATACTTTCATACATAAATGTCAACCTCTTTAAAAACCTAAAACTACTTTAGAACTTGAATACACAATTTTTGTTCTTTTGGGTATTTTAATAGCTTTTGCTTATTTTTTGCTCTAGTTTCAAGTCCCTCTGACACCTTTAGTCGGTCAGTCTAAGTTAACAAGAACACCACTTGCAGTGATAATGCTTGTCTGTTATAATAACCACTTGGCGATGACAATGATGACGCAGCTATCATAATAGCTCGAATTTTTCTTCTTATCAGGGACGCTATAAATACTCAGTTGAATATACATATGACTATATCCTAAGCTATTATAACTTAAAATATTTCTATATAGATTCAACTGTTACACGCATATGGATATACATATGACATGCATGCCGACCTCTTTTACCAGAAGGTTGATGCTGCTCTCGTTCTTGTTTCCGTTTCATCCACGGGTTTTCCTTCGGGGGCTCGGCTGGCACAAACTCTTTCTTCCCTTCTCGCTTTGATGGTGTCGACTGTTAAATAACATACCAATGTCATTAACACTGAGGTTTTGTGTTGTTTGTTTTTTTTTTTTGGGGGGGGGGGGGGGGGGGGTTATGTCGCACCAACACAATATAATGGTGGAGGAATACCATCTGCTTGTCTGCGTATTATTTTCGGCATGAACTAGCATCTGAGTAGAACCACCAACGTTCCTTAAGGTAGCTGGATAGCTTTCCATATGAAAGAATCAATAGTCCCTGTCAGGGATTCGGACGCACAGCGGTAAGGGGAAATGGTTTGAAGTCAACAACCTTAACACAATGTATTATAAATGTTAAAAGCATTAAAAAAAAAATCTATTCTTTTTTGCTTATGTATATTTCTAAGTTGCATTTTGAAACTTATACAGTCATTGTTAAGGTTATAATTATTGTGACATGTGAGCTTCACGTTTATTTTAGTTGCAAGTTGGCTACGCAGTAAAACTAACAAACTTTTGAAACCTAGGTGGACTTCTTGTTTATATATCTATGTAATTACCATAATGGGTAGCAAATGTTAAAACACATATAAAAGGCTAAATATATACCTCTCACTTCTTTGTACCAAAAAAAGTTATAAATTAGTTTGGTGTATAATTTACTAAAAATATATCCTTCACAAGTTTATTTTTCATTACATTTTATTACATGCACAAATTACTATAGGTAAAGAAATGTTGATCTTTATATAATACATTTAAATATATAAAAGATTTGACTGTTCATCTAACAGAAGCGCGTCTAGCGTTTCACTAATCAAGGCAGCATATTAGGTCAGTATGTCACGAAAGTGGTTGTCTGTACTTACATCCGTACTAGACTGTGACGACGTTCTATTTGACCGGCTGGACTGGTTTCTCTCACGCATGTTTGGAGGTGATTGGTGGGAATCAGACTGAGTACTCTCCTGTGCTGGAGGTTTCCTCTCTTCTGCTTTCTGAGGAGGTGATTGGGCCGTCTGTAAATGAAAGGAGGCAAAATTATAAATGTTTGTATCAATCCAAAACAAATCTAAAGAAAACGCTTTGTTTTTTTTAAACTGTTGTTTGGCTTTAAGTCACACAAACACTGTAACAGTAACATGGCAATTTTTCAGCTTTACTGGTGGAAAAAGACCCCCAAGGTGCCCCTTCGTGCATTATTTCAGGCACCAAAGTAAAACCACCAATGTTCTGTAAACAACTTGGATAGTTTCCTTACATCAAAGAAGTCAATGTCACCCTGGTGGGATTCAAACCAACCGTAGTCACAGGTGCAAGTTTAAACCTTTACAATCCAGCATCTTGATGACAATCCATTGCTACCAGTATAGAGCCAAATATATTTTTAACCCCAGCAGCCTGACTTAACTCTGAATGGCTCCATACCTTAAAATTCAGTCAACTGCTAAACACAAGACAGTTAAACAATATAAGCAGCTACGTCCATACATAAATTTATAAGGTTAAAAGTCATTTGAATAGAACACAGCATGCATACCTGAGTAGACTTTCTCTTCTCCCAGATATTTTCTTTAGGTGCTGGAGCAGGAACCAGTTTGACTGTCTCATCCCTGTGTGCTGGCGATAGAGCATTGTGCGACTTGTCCTCCTCACCGCCGGAGAACACCTCTGGGTGCGATCCCTGCTCACCACTGTCCTGCCGAGATCTGCTCTGAGATGTTGAGCCTGTTGGAGATAAACATATTAAGTATTAAATATATTAATGATTACAGTGCAACCTCTGCAGAGCAACACACTTTGGGAGATAAAGATTTATGTTGTTGCTTAGAGGTGTTGCTTTTTAGATGTTAAAGAATAGAATAGAATAACTTTTATTTGCAATCAAATGGTAAATGTACTGTGAATTCTTCTTTTGTTTAGTATAGTTATAATACTGTCAATCAATGTAAAAATAGACATATGCCATCATTTTAGTATGATGCCAGTCTGTAATTCTTGCAATCAATTACATACATTCTGCCTTGTAAGTGTTAATGAGAATATAATTACTATCATCAGCAATTGCAACTAATAAATTATTAACACTTTTTGGTGAAAATTTCAGGATGTTCTGCTTCTCTTAGTTATGAATTTGTGAAGCAGTTAGCACTAGAAAAGCTGATGGTTCAACTTGGGTGCCTACTCCAAGTCTTTGATAATACAGATAGGGACATAGCTTTTTCACAAATAAAGTTGTCAAATTGCCTTATGACCTTTTAAACACAACCCAATTTATGCATCAGTAGGATACTGAGTAAAGGATTAAATGAAAGTGTGTCAGATGTCATCAATTTGCAATGTGTATGAATATCTTAACTGAAAAAAAAAAAAAATTATTAGGGGTTATTTATCCAGCAGATCAATATCAACTTTTTTGACATTATTTTTCGTACCTTTTTTCCCCTTTGAGCTGCCACTGGATCTTCTTTCTCTACGACCGTCACCTTCTTCTGAACGCTCACTTCCTGTACGTCTTCGTGAACTTGGTCTGAAATCATCATTACCCGCACATTTTAATGTAAGTTACAAAATATAGGTTTTTTTTAACTCATTAAAAGTTTTTACTATCCTTACTGGTATATTCTTATATCTTTGCAGTATTCATTTAATACTAAAAAATCAAATTATGGACAGAAATCGATACACAATCTTAGATCAAAGATAAAAGGGAATAAAGGTCTAAAATGTAGTTATTAACATGTGTCTTTCAACCCAGGGATCATTGGTTCATGTTTTACATGAGCCGGGACCATGTTTTCTATATGCCACATGACCAGTACTGGTCAGTTGTTTCAAGAGTGATTAAAATAAGCTACAAACTTTTTTTTTACAATCCAGCTTAAATAAATAATATTTAATCTACATATTTAGAAAAAAAAATTTGAAAAACAAATTATATAAAAAAATATTTATCATCAAAACTTAATGCAAAGTGTACCTGTAACTTACTCTTATGCATTTCATCTATCATAACCAAATATTCACTTACACATTTCTATTTTCTTTATTATCATGCTCATATTTCCTCTGGGGAGGTTCCTCGTATCCCTTCGAGGTACCATAGCCTCGGGACTCGAGGGAACTCTTAGGCTGAGTTGTGTCAGTCTTCTGTTTCAACAACTTCTCCTCTATTTCCCTCTCCCTCTGTGCAGTGTCCACAGGTTTTGCACTGCCAAATATAGACGCAGCCTTTGGTTTTTCTGGTCTTGGTTTATCTTCGCTGGGTTTTGTTTCTGGCGGATTCTCCACCGGTTTTGTCCTCGGTTGTAGTTGTAGCCGTGGTCTTTCTCTCGGTGCTTCTGTTAGATACAAATCAGTAAGAATATACAATTCCTGAAATTTTCTTTTGGAATAATAATTTGTGTGACTATTAGGCCAGTCTTCAATTTATTTTGTTTCCCCTCCCACAACCTATGCAAGTTTGGGTAGCGTAGGTAAAATATAATTTTTATCCAAAATATTTTTTTTTTTTCCAAATTATATGGATTTTAAAACAAATTGTGAATGCTTAGCATCTGTTTAAAGTTTAGAACCTAAGTTTCAAAGTATTATTTTACATATATTCTAGTATGTACATGATTCAGAAACATGTGACAAAAATAAAGATGTAATTTTCATTTACAGAATTCTCCCATGTTTAGTAAAATAATTCGTTTTAGCAATACTTTCTTTAGGTAGCTGTGATTTTTATGGGTAGGGAGCAGGATTTGAAAAAACGTTTTATTTTAGGCCTTAATATAATTGTAATGAGTAGTTTTCAGGAAAAACACAAATACGTTCACCATACCTTTATCAGAATTAAAGGCATTATATTAATATACTACTTTCTGCAGGAGTTGAATAGTCATTTATCTCTTGCCATTGATTAAGTAATCATGTGAAATAAGTAATTGTAACATGTGAAGAAATTGTTAATTACTCCAGGAAAATCGTCAAGGCATGCCAAGAGATGACAAAATAAACATACAATATATGATGTGCATACCTGTGTTTTCTTCATTTACTATCATCTTATTTATTATAAACATACTATGAGTTTTATCATCGTTTATTATACTATGGAATAATTGCTTACCTGGTTCACGATCCGGTCTATCTTGTCTGTGAATAGAAGAAAATCCAACAATGAAATAAACAATCATAATTGAGCCGCGTCACGACAAAACAAACAAAATGCGTTTGCGACCAACATGGATCCAGACCAGCCTGCGCATCCACGCAGTCTATCAGGATCCATGCTGTTCGCTTACAAACCCTATTGCAAGTAGAGAAACTGATAGCGAACAGCATGGATCCTGATTCATGCTGGTCGCAAACGCATTATGTTGGTTTTGTCATTGCGCGGCTCATTTCACATTTGGCATCACTGTTATCTAGGGATCAAGGTCATATTTCAATGCATCAAAATGATGCTCTGTATATCTGGGGATCTTGAAGTACGGTTTTATGTGAATTGTGAACACAATTGCATATTCCATTTAGTGTATTTGCAATTATAATAGACAGATAAAGGCATAAAACAGTTATGACTCCCAACCTTAAAGTGACATTATGCTCATATTTTCATAGTCAAGTTGAGCTGAATTGACTTTATATTTCAAAAGATTGACTGTCAAAATGGTGTTTGACCAACAATGAATATTGGAAAATGTTGAGGATAAAATTATAAATCTGCCTAAAATTTAAAAAGACTGCCCCACTCCTTTTATAAACTAAGCGTTATAGGTAAATTCTTACGGATATTTACAGAAATTTTGTTTGGATCTGTGCGTTGTTTATTATTTATGTGAACTTAATTATCAAATTAAAAGGAATTATGGCAAATGAAACCTTATTTTGATTTTCACCCGTTCACTCACTGTATACCCTTGGATGGGCATAATGTCACTTTAAGTAACAAAGGCATAAAAAACTTTATTTTTATCTTATTATAAATAATGTCTCAAGAAGAAATCAGAATATCCAGAATATTTCCAGCAGTTAACTGTACATGAAAACTGGCAGGACATTCTATAAGCATCTCAAAACATGCTCACAAAAGCAGAATTTTCCCAAGTATTAATAAACCAATAATTTCAACATTCATTTGAAATCCCTCAAATTTCAGATAAGAAATTTGAACACAAGTTAGCTTTCTATGGTTTAAAACCAGGAATGATGAGTTGAGAGTTGATATTATAAACTAACCTATCGTCCTGACCCCTGTCTCCACCATAACCTCCTCTATCTCTGTCACCATGGAAACCACCTCCCCCTCTCTCCCAGCCCCTCTCATCACCCCCTCGATCATCTCGTCTGAATCCTCCTCCAAACTGACGTCTACCACCTAATTATTGATATAAATATAACACTTATAAAAGGTTTTATAATAGGTTTCAGATTTAATGAACATAACATTCAAAAACAAGAACTTCAAATCCAAACCTGTTTTCTGAGCTCTGATAGTAATTATGTAGAAATTTTAATCCACGATATTATAATGAGCCTAAGATAATCAATCACCTCACAATTATGATCCTGAACATATGAGTGCACATTCAAATGATTAACCACCAGTGTCTGAAATGAATCATGCATGCAAAGCCTTTTTAAACTTCACACAGTGCTATATGTTATTCTGGTATAATAAATGCTAGTCATTGGTCTTGGATAGCGACCAAATTTATATTAGTATCATCCCCAAGGACAATAATGAAGTCTCAGATGAATACCTCCAGGTGTTTCCAATAATCTAACATACAAAATCTTTACCAGGAATTTCACAAAGGGATCTTGGTAACAAATCATCAAATTTATAACATATCATGGATTTCTCTCAAGTTTTTTTGGCTTTCAGTCACAAGTTCCAGTTGGAAAGAACACAGGAATAATTATTTCCAGAATATAAAAATGAAATAAATAGTTTGACTAAGACTCCACCTACCATCTCTATCTTCAAAACGTCCGCCACCACCACCACCGCCATATCTATCATCCCTCCTGTCATCTCTACCAAATCCACGGTCATCTCGTCTCCCAAATCCCCCGCGGTCTTCGAATCCCCCTCCACCACGACGGTCATCAAATCCACCACCGCCACGACGGTCATCGAATCCACCGCCGCCACGACGATCATCGAATCCACCACCGCCTCTGCGGTCGTCAAACCCACCACCGCCACGACGATCGTCAAATCCACCTTCTCTTCTATCACCGTATCGACCAGATCCCCGATCTCCAAAACCTCTATCATCTCTTCTGTCGTCATATCGGCTTGGACCCCTGTCGTCATAGCGACCTTGACCTCTATCATTAAAACCTGTAACAAAAGATGAATTGTTACTTCACAATGAATATTTCTACAACTGGAACATTGCTTTAACAGGAAAGCAATACAAAATTGTTTGAATACTCAAAATAGATTTTAATAGCTATATCCTCATATAAAGAATCAAATTATTTTTTTGTATGTTAGCTTGAATGACAAGTTATGATAGTTAAATCCTGAGGAATACAAAATTTTGACTTTGACCTCTGCACTAACTTTATACACTTGGACAGGTATAATGTCACTTTAAAAGTTTGTGCATATTACCTTTTCAAACGAACAAACAAACAAAATATATTCTCAACTCAAATATGAATTTATATATAATTTATATCATAAAAAGAATCCTACAAAGACTACAATAACTCACTAGAAGACTCTTGTCTGCCCTCTGACCTTCTCCAATCACCTTCTGTTCTGTCTGGTTGGCCATCATCTCTCCTACCACCACCTTTTCTGTTATCTTTAACACATTAACACTATGATATGAAACATGTTGTTTGCAGGTAAAAGCTAATTAAGTCAACAGTTTGTTATCTACACTTCGCTATCAGTAACATTTGATAAAATTATGAATTAGGGTCAATTAAGAACTGATAATGTGCACATTTTTATTATTCTAAGTATTTTTAAGATATTTATTTCAACTAAGATAATAACTCTTTCCACTGAAACATAGTTTCTTTTCAGTTGGTTTTGTCAAATACACCTGACTTGGAAAGATTAATTTTAACTGTTACAGCTGTTAACTGACAAAGCACCAATTGGTGTTTTAAGTGTAATGAAATAAAAGCAAGTCTTAAATTGACAATGACATTGTACATACCTCCTTGAGACTCCCCTGCCAAGTCAATTCTCACTTTACGACCCCCAAATGCCTGAAATAAAACAACAAAATGTAATTTTTTATGAAAATATGACAGAGTATAAATGCAATAACTTTTTTTAAAACACAAATTATCAATTTCAAACAATTTTAACCGTTTCACTCAAAGTGACAAGATGTGACAGCTAAGAAAAACTAGGCACTGCTGCTGGTCTATAGTAGAAACACTGTTAATTTTTCTATGTAAGAAAATTTGTGTTCACATATCTCCACGCAACAACTTCCATAAGTCTTTTTAAGGTCACCATTTACAAAGTGTAATTAACATTTTGAAAGAAAGTGTAAAACCACACACCAAAATCATGAAAATGTGTACATTTTACAAAAGAAAAGCAATGATAAAGTAACAGGTCACATACCTCTTCTGACATAGACAAGGCATCTATGAGAGCTTCTCTAGTCTCAAACTGAACATATCCAAACCCTCTCAGTCTTCCATTGTCTTCTGGAAGTCTGACATTCATCACCTGGCAACATTTATAAATATGTTTGTTATAATGTTAAATTACAGACAAAAGTGGAGAAAGGGGGCAGTTTAAATATGCCATTCACTTTATTTCACAGTCACTTAAATAAATAATGTCCAAGACAAAAAAAAGAGTTCAACAATAGAATCGAAAGTTAGCACTCTTGTTACAGCCAATCAAAGATATTTTCTAATAATGTACATGTATGAATATTTAATTGTAATACCAGCATCTCAAATATAAAAGCATTATATTGTAATTTAGATAATTTCAGTAATTCTAAACCTGTCTATCTACTCTAAAACACTGTCAGTCCTAGAACTCTGAAATCAAATTTCATATGCATCCATATTTGAATGTAAAAATTAACATTACAAAAGAAGAACAAAAACTGTCAAATGATTAATCTAAGACCTTTGGCAAGTGAATTTCAGCCCTACATGTTAATGTCTGAATGCCAATTGCACAAATCAAGAAAGAAAATACTTTACCGGTAGTTTTCTGAAAAATTCAGTTATTTTCTCTTCTGTAGCTTCATATGGTAAATTGCCTATAAATGCTGTAAATGGTGGATCTGTTGGTACTTTAGCAAGATCCTCAGGACCTCTGGACGCTTTTGGAGCAGTTGGGAGTTTTGCTCGATCTACTGCTTGCATACCATAGGTAGGTTCAGAATCTAGTTAATGTACAAAATATAACCTCCAATAATAATCAAAAAGAGCTAACTTTTAAGTGGATACATGTTACCTTCTATTTTTATAAAATTAATTAAATATATTGTTCTACATTACTTTTAATATCTTTAGAAAATAATAAGAATAATATTTATCAATATTTGAATATTTCATTATAAAATCAAAAATTGATAGATCTAGTAACACAATCACCACAAGATGAAAGAGGGCATTACAATATCATAAATCGAATGTCCTATTAATGCACCAGAATTGAGATAAGCTTACATGGCTCTATACTGCTCACTGCTAAATTAAAGCATTTGTATATCTTGTCTTTTTCATTAACAATAATCTGTTTCTAATTCAAAGGATGAGTCCATTATATAAATTTAACAGTGGGTAAATGTATCCGATAATAAGTCTTTCTGCTAGTATGATTGACAAAGGGTAACATGCAAAAGGCACCAAAAATAAAGGTTCTAAAAATTATAACTAGTCACCAACAATATACATACCAATATCTAACTCCTCCATTTCAGCTGCCCAATCCATACTTTTATTAGCAAGAACATAGCTAGAGCCTGGCCCCTGAGCTGCCCCTGTCTCATCAGACAGGAAATCAGTCAGGGCCATGGTTGTCCCCTTCTTCTTCCCTTTTTTGCCAGCTGAAAACAAGTATTAAATAAGATAGTAAGTACAAACAGACATCATTTGATCAGCTTTATATTACATCAGAAATTTAAAGTAGTTTCTTATACAGAGAATTGTTTTAACAATGTATGCAAAACACACCGATTCATTTGCATGATTAGGTCTGTCAAACAATCCTAGGTTGGGGTCTAAACTTGGAGTACATATCCTTGGATAGCAATACGATTCAATACACTATGCTTTTTCACAACTAGTTTGATACTCTGTTGTTTTTTTTTAATCTGAACATTGTATGTAAAAGATATTTGGCAGATACATCAAATTTACTTTGGTGTTTATAGAAATCCAATTGTTTTCTTTCTGATCAACATCTGACAAGACTTTGTGCCATTTATATATACAATTTAGATGGTGATAAACACAGGGGTCTATTGTAAACCTGAAAAATCATCAGGCGCTAACCAGGATTTGAACCCAGACCACTTAATCACTAGGCGAATACTCAATCATGTCACTTAAGGGTTTACCCAACAGCAAGGTGGTTGGTAATGGTCTATACCTGTAATCACATCTGTTTCAGGATATTCAATAAAAAAAATGGCTATATAACAAGGCAGTGGCTAGCCGTACGGGCCCATTTAGCTAGCCAAAAGTTTGGGCCGTACATAAGTCACATACTGCTATTCTCAACAGGTGTATAGTCTACACGTACTTGACTCACATACGGCTAGGACTTTCGTCTAGTAGTAAGGCCTAAGGGTCCGTACAGCCAGCCACTTCCATATAACAAACCGACCTAATTTTTTTTACCATCTTTACATATCAACTTTTACGTCTGCATTTAATGGAAATCTTGCCACAAATAAAGTGTAAATCAGGCGTTAGAGATGATGCGGCAATGTTTACATTTTATTTGACATCTGTCAAGACGAATGAGAAATGGGGAAGTAATGCCGGGACACATGTTGGCTGGAAATTGCATGTTCAAAAGCATATCAATCAATATCTATTATGTGTCTTAGTAAGAGCGTTGGAATCTCAATAAATATCAAGATACGATGGCTATATGCATGTTAAAACAAAAGATAAATAGAAAATTGCACGTGTGCCATGCGTGTATGTACCCTTTGCCGCCATCTTGAAATGGTTACGATTAATCGTACTCGATGGCCTTCGTCTTTTAATTAATGAACACCTCTAAATTTTTTATTATGTATGCTGCATCAGCCTCTTTTTGGGATTTTATCGAATTATAGTATACACAGTTCCTATGATATCACGGTATTAACATTTTCTGTGACTGCATGTGAAAGCAACGCATGTATGTTGATGATACTTTCTTAAAACTGTGACACTAAATCGCATAGCATCTGCACATAAATTTAATTTTGTGAATAATGAGTAGATTCCTTGTAAGAAAACTATTTTATAAAAATCTTCATATTTGACTAATATTTCCCTTAATTATTTTCACACAGTCAATAGAAATACAATATATGTATGTTATAATATTCTGGCATATTGACTGTTCATATAGCTTGAATTGTATAATAAGTTAGCTGTTGGAAAATATTCACAACTTAATTTGAAGATTTTGACACAGCTATTCTTCCGTTCTTTCATTTTTGGGGGATTACCTTGATACCGTAGTAACCTCTTCTGAAATCACCCAAATTGGCAGAAAATGGAAATAGTTTTAAAAAATGACATTTTAATTAGGTCTTTTGAAATAAATCTTTGACAATCATTCTTTGAAAAAGTTCACTTATTAAATAAAAAAAAAATATCATTCATGTATGATTTTTATATTCAAATATTTTCTGATAAACGTTAAGTACCATGATATCATAGAACCCTGGACTATAAGTTTAAAATATGTAATTAACGAAGTAGTCTTGATTATATACTTATAAATGAAATTTTGTGAAATATTGATGAAATAAAATGCAAATTTTTATTTTCGAACTTTCACTGTAAAAATATTTTTCACTGCAGTGAAACATATTTTCCGTATTTTCACTGGTGTCTTGATGGACTACTTTCTTCTAAATTCAGTCAATACACAGAATTAAAGGGAATTCTTTTTATTTATCAGGTTAAAAAAAAGAAGAGAAAAAGTATATAATAAACAGAAAATTCAAGTTTTTTTTATATTAATACAGGATCTATTTTCATCTTTTGTCATGAAAATTATCATATTTCACTCGTGGCTACTGTCACCCGTGAAATGTTTATTTCATACCACTCGATGAAAATAAATATTCTGTATGTATAGAAGAAACTTAAATATCCTCTATTTATTTGGTAATTATATAAAAGAGACATATGATATCTAAAAAATCATACTTTATCTGGTTCGAAATATCCCATACAATGGTCTGAAGTGTCGAATATGCATGGTCCAAAATGTTCAAATATCCAGTCCAAAATGTCCCAAAATCCGGTCAAAAATGGTGGCTTTTGTTGCATTTTAGATGAACATTTTTTAAGTACAAGTGTCTTGATAATTTTCATAAAATTTCAGATTACAGAATATGCAAACTACTAATATAGGGGAAAATAAGAATCCCCAAAGAAAGCCCAACACGGCAAAATTGAAAATGTTGCAGGCTCGATTTGATTGAGCCTGTTCATGGACGGTACTGTCAAGTGCAAACTACCGTCCACGCCCCCTAGCACCGGCTTAAGCAGAATTCAACATTTTACATGAACTGGTAAAATTTAGAATTTTGAAACATCCGCAGATGTGTTCATATGGCGGTTATCATGGAACCTTCAATGTGACACGTTAGTGCCATTCCATGAAAAGCGGCATATGGTCCCCAAGTAAAAAAATGCGTGTGCCCTAAACGAGAAAACAATGGGCGGAACTAAATAAAATGGAATTTTGAAAGGGGATCTGAGGTTATGAAGCCTGCATATCACAGATATGACGTCAAAAGACAAATTTAAAAAGCAGGCCACATATCCTAAGGGTGATTCAACAGTATTCAATTAAGGAATACTGGAACCACCCAACAAGAAAGATGCCGAATAGAAAGAACTAAAATACCACAAGCACAACAATAATGCCGTGTTGAACGATCTTTAAGGATCGGAAATATAACATCCCTGATTGAATGTACGGGGCGACTTTTTACAGCCTCCACACGGCACAAGCAACGCTGATGTGGCGATAAAATAGAGAGAAATAAGAATCCCAAAAGAAAGCCCAACACGGCAAAATTGAAAATGTTGCAGGCTCGGTTCTTGTCGATTTCTGTAAAAATATTTGATCATAAACATTGACGGTTTTGATGCATTTTCACGTACACAATCTAAAATTCATGTTTCTACAATTTGCTAGTCTTTCTTTGAATACTTAATGATTACTTTTTCACATGCACATTTTATAATACTGGTTTCTATGTCTCCCAGAAAATCAAACAAGCAACGGTGTTAAATACTAACCTTTTTTACGGAATTTTCATTGCATACTTACAGATGAATGATGTTGAAAAACCAGGATTTTTTCACAGTCAGGGAGCTTAAGTAGATGGAAAAAAAACTAGATATACACCGATTTTGAGGGGAAAACTATATGATTTTAAAAGAATTTGCCAGAGCCTCAAATGCCTATAAATGGCCCCTGCTACAGAAGGAATACAACAAACCTAATAATGTATAATTTATATAAAGCTTTAAAAAGAGATAATATCGAAATGCTTATTGATTAAAATGTTATATCATTTAAATGCTTCCGTATGTTATGTAAATAGAAAATTTAAAAAGCACTAACTGAATATACATGTATATACGGATAGAGCATCATCACATTCAAGGGAGTTATATTCAATATACTAGTAAAACTACTCATTGGCTCTTTTCTCAATTCCATGCAGACGCTTGAATCTGCATTTACACTGACCAAGAGTAATCTGCTGAAAAAGCCTGCTTGACCTTTAATATATACTCTGAAACTTAATGTCGGCAAATTTCCCAAAGTTATGCATCGTTTAAATGACAAAGTTTTGTGATAGGAATTGCACCAATATATTTAACCCAGTGACTGTAGAACGGAGGTCGAATCACATTTCGATTTTCTTAAGAAAAAAGCTTTGAATTTTATATAAAATGTTAAAAATGTTGAAAAAATACCCTGTGACTGATCTATTTTCTTCTTCAGCGAAAATTCAGATATATTTTTACCGATGCTCACTTTTGAGATCCATATGGGGTTCCACCCCCTTGTATATGTGTGGATTATTAATGCCAAGTAAACTATTCTGTTATATTTATTATCATATCACGTCTATCAGCCGTCGTGTTTATATCACTGCGCATTTGATATCTAACCATGCATTATGCAATAACACACTAAATAAATATATCTATTTCGTTAATAAATCATAAAATTAACATTTGAAAATTGTGATTAAATTGATTTCATTTCATTATTGCAATTTCATTTCATAGCGGATCTACAATGTTCAATTTATGTATAATTATATTTGGTATGTCGTATTGTTATCTCTTGGATTTTACTGAACTGTAAAATGAAATGTACATAGAGAGTTAATGCACCACTTTTTCCGTGCATTTATATCTGCAGAAGCACAAGCCAGCAAGGCAATGGGATTTAATAAGCCCGATGGCCTCTGCAGTTGTGAATGCATTAAAAAAGTGCATTAGCACTATTCTTTGCTTTTAAAGTATACGTTTAAATCGGCAATTCCGTGTTATCTGCATTTCGTAGATAGGCTTTTGCGATATTATATGACAGTTATGATTTGATTTTAAAAACTTTTATCTGTTGATTTTTTTTCTCTGTTGATTTATACTTACGTGCACAGTTTTTATGCAAGGACATAAGATATACATGTACCAGTAAATTAGTCTCAAATCTTTCTATCTTAAACAGAAAGACCCTGATTTACTTTTTACCAAGACTTAGAGTATACAAATGTATAATATGTTATATTGTATATCTATTGGCATTAGCATTTAGTGGATGAAAAAACGTTACAGCTACTTATAATGATGACGATGATGACGAACATTATAAACTAAAAAGCGTAACATAACAATTGATGAGAGCATATTTTTATGTTCTATACAATGAATATTTGTATTATAAACTGAAAAAAAAAACTTTCATTATTATCTTTTTATCGCTATTGGCTATTAATGGGATGTCAATAAAAGATTTGAAATGATTTGCTTGTCATTGCTGCAATTTAGTGTTCAGATTTGTGATTAATGTTTCAGAATTCAAAATTTTAACATTTTCATAAGGCACTTTTCCCCATCTTATGGTCGGAAAATATTAGTGATATTCAACCTTCAATCGGTTTGTCCGTCCGGTATGGTACGGTACTGCATATCTGACAATATTCACTGCTGCCTTACACTTCCGGTGTCTTAGGTCGCATCCGTCCACAAAACAAGTTGCACCAAGTTTTTTCTGTATCAACAGAACCCGAGTTTAAAAAGCAGATATGGTATACTTTTATTTTCATTTTTTACAACTTGTAAATATGTATTGAACTTTATGCAGGCGAAGAAGTCAAAGGACATTATTTAGAGAGATTTGAAACCAGTTTGCTTACTTTCTCATCTCTAATCATGTTAATCAATGAATGAAGTAAATTATTTAATATGAAAAAGGCAAAACCTCAAAGCGAGCTCGATGTACTTTTAACGTGAAATAGTATGAAATAATCGCTTTTTATTTCAAATGCAGTGACGAGTGCGTGTGTCGTCACACGTACTGTGTTAAATATGGCTCCGCCCCTGTCGTTAAATGAATAATGAGTTTTGAAAACGTTGATAAAACTTTGTTTGTTTATTTTATTTCACTCTATAATTTTTCAAGCGAAATAAAGATTATTAAAAGTGAAATAAATGTAAAACTTAAAACGTTTGCAACATCAAAATAGCGTACTTGATTTGATTGTTTTGCACGTGCTGTTTGGCGCTACACTGTGACGTCACGTTAACAATACTTTAAACGTCTGTACAGCGTTAACGACTGAATAAAAGATATTGGTGTTCGGATTCATTTTCTTAGTTAGACCATTTTCTTTCATTCTAGATAGTTTTCACAACAAAATTCGACATAAAATTGTTTTTATTTATCAAATTTTTCAAACAAAATGGCGCCTTCACTTTTCATTTTACATTTTCCGTCTTAAAACTGT